GGAGCTGTCCCCCCTTCCCACGGCCAGGAGCTGCTCTTGGGGTGCCCTGGGACTGCAGCAGAGCTCTGGTGCTGCCAGGCTGTGGGAAGGGCTGCAGTCAGTGCCCAGACAGGGCAAACACTCGGTGGGCAGCAGGAGTTGGGCTCCACACATTGCCCCAAGGAGGCTGGGACACAGCACAGGGCACAAAAAGTGACACATGCTGCAAAGAACAGCAGATTTCACTTCCCATTTCTCCCTGTGACACAGAAGGGACATTAAACCCAGCGAGGAGACAACGGGGAAATTCTCTCTCTCCCACTTCAGCTTTTGAGCAATTTTCTTCTGCTTCACAGCCCAGGGGTTCCCCTTGAAAACCCCGGGTGTGTGCTGGGATGTGCCAAAATCCAGCCTGGACCAATCCTGCCCTGGGAGAAGCCAGGCAAAGCGTGCACCTGGGAGAAATGTCCAGCGTCATGAGACCTCTGATTGCTCAGTTACACAAACCTTCACCTGAAACGCCGCTGTGGGTTCAGGGCTGGGAAATCTCCCTAATTAACACAAAGAGGTGTCTCCAATGCAAATTGGGACCCTGCTCCAGTGGCTGGCGGCACCAGCTCACCCTTCAGCAGAGCTGCCCTGATTTAATCTGACGTTATTTGAAAGAGCAGCATCTCCGGGGGGCTGGAGACTGGAGTACCTTTCTTTGTCCCTCCCTCATTTGTTTCTGCTTTTTTGCACTGATAAGCCTGTGAAAGGGACTGAGCAAGAGCCACCAGCACCTCGGGCAAGGATGTTGCAAGATTCAAACCCTTTCTGGGCAGCCCCGAGGACTGTGGCCATCCTCCTGAGCACTGGCCAGCTCACCCCTGCCGCTCTCAACAGAGCCCAGCTCCAGCTCTTCCCAAAATTGTTGGCTTGGAGCAAACCAGCCTGGTGGAAAGTGTCCCTGCCCAAGGCAGGGGATTGGAGGGAGATGAACTTTAAGGTGCCTTTCAATCCAAATCATTGTGGATTCTGTGATTTTTCCTGCAGTGCTTGCCCCATCCCTGTCTGCTGGCAGTGCTGTGTAGCTCCCCGGGGCGCTGGAGGTGGGAAGAGGCCACTTGCTGCTGTCCCCCCAGGCTGTCCCCAGCCTGAGTGGCACTAGCAGAGGGCACGAGGTGCCAGTGGCAGCCAGGCCTGGGAAGCAGGTCATGGACAACCGGCTCTTCTGGTTCCTTCCATGATTCAGCCGAGGTGTGAGCCCTGCTCAAAGGAGCCCTGTGGTGCCTCCCTTTGAGCTTGGCTTTTGTGGCTGCTCCAGCTGCGGGGGTGATGCCAGGAGAGATGTGCCAGGCTCTGCCAGCACCTCCTCGGCCACCAGCTCACCCCAAGCACTGGATGTGGTGCTGGAGGTGCCCCTGGAATCTCCCTGCGGATGGGACGGGGCTGCAGCTCCTGCCTGATGGCTGCTGCTGGTTCAGGGAGTGAACAGCATCTCTGCCATGGGGCAGGCACCCCCTGCTCGTGGGCTGAGCTGCCTCTGCCCCAGCCTGGCGCCTCGCCCACACTGACACACGCAGCAGCTCCTCCGTTCACGCCGGGCTAAAACCCGACCGGTCGGTTTAAGTGAAGTTTAAAGAGAGAAAAATCAGTCAAAGACACGCTTTTCTTCCTGAAATAGCCTGATGCTGCTGTTTGTGAGTTTTGGGAGGAGGCAGGTGGCGGGGGAAGCAAAAAATAACAAGCAAGAACTCAAGCCAAAGGCTGAAGGACACTCTGGCAACTTTTTTTTTTTGCATTTTGGAAGCGACTTTGGGATATTAAAGCAGCTCTAGAAAGTACAAGATGGAGCAGATCCTGCAGTGACACGCTTTGGCTCTTCCCAGCGCTCCACAGCGCTGTTGCACCTCCCCAAAATGAACCCTCCCTCCAGCTGCAGCCAAGTTTGACCTCAGCCCTGCAGGTCAGCACGGCTCACTCAATGCTCCTTTCAAGCGCCGTGATGGGAAAAGCCCGTGTCAAAGCAGCCCCAGCCACCTCTGCTGCTCTCCCCTGTGGAGCATCTCAAAGCACTTTGCCAAGTGTTCCCAGGCCCCTCCTGGAGCCCAGCAATAGCAGAGAGGAATTTGTCTGCAGCACAGGCCCAGATGTGCAGGGGCAGGACCAGCACAGATGATGCCTCTGCTCTGTGTGGCTGCATCTCAAGCTGCAGGAGCTCCACGGTGGGGATAAACAGATTGTTAAGGCTTGCGAAGCATAAATTTAACTGCAAATGTTCATAACCTCTGCAGATCAGCTGCCTGGGATATCTCCTCCCCTTTCCCCACGGCTTTCTGCAACCCCTGTTGATATCAATATTTGAATGGAGCGTGAGTTGATACCTGGTTCCAAATGGATGGGCATGGAAGGCTGCAGGAGCCACGAATTGAATCCGTTCTGGACGATTGAACTGCTCGCATTAAAGATAATTTGTAAAGCAGATTTTTATACGAGACTCCTTACAGCTTTTACAGGAGCGGAACTTTTATTCCCTTATCAGAGCAAAGAAAAAAAAGCTAACATCTTCTGAAGGGGGAGGTGGGTGGGAACAGAATGAAATGGCATTGATCAGCTGGACATGAAAGGTTTCCCAGGGAGCAGGCACTGCTCTGATTCTTCTCAACTGTTGGGTATGAAACCACATTTTCCAACAAGTCCACAGCTTGTAGTAGAGGATCCTGAGTTTCCTCTCGTTGTTAAGCGAGCTGGTCTGTATTCAAAGCTTCAATACAGCTTTATATATGTTTATATATATGATTTTGGCACAATGCATGGTGAACTCGAGGAACTACGTGCCTCAGGAAGGCATCCAGACTTGGGGTCTGGTAAAGACTCTGCTCTGTGCAGCGCTGTGCTGGTCCTTCCCTGCAGCTCTGGGTCCATCCACAGCACCCAAACGAACGATAAAAACGAATGAATGAATATTTAATATCCAGGATCAGACACTCCTGCAGCTGTGGTGCACCCACCACTAAACTGGTCGGGCCGAGAGTCTCGCCCACGCAGGCTGCAGGGCAGCGGTGCTCAGGGCCAGGGTTTGGGGAGGATTTTCCTCCTGGAACACTGCGGAGCTGGCTGTACCCCGGCCTTGGCAAGGCACCACGAGATGCACCACTGGCTCATCCTGGCAGAGCTGCCAGCGGGACAGTGCAAGACAAACTGCCACGCTACTGCAGTGGCAGGAGACGAGCCCGCCTGACTGCTGGCAGCACAGCCCCGAGAACGGCCAAAAAGAGGAGAAATGCAGGGGAAAAAGTCTCTCTTGGCAGGACAAGGTGAGATGCCAGGCTGTGTCAGGGTCACTGCGTGTCTCCTTGGTGAAAGCAGTTCCCAGGGGAGCACAAAGTCCTTGTGGTTTAGCCAGCACAGTCCCCACAGCCTTGCTGCCCCTGCAGTGCCCCTGCCCGGGCTGTGGGGAGGGGTTCCTGCCGGCTGGGAGGATGAGGAGGGAAGGCTGGGTGAAGAACGGCATGGAAAGTTCTGAGACTCCTTGTGAGGAGCCGGAGCTCAGCCAGGCACCTGCCTGCAAGCACAGAGGAGTGCAGAGAGCCCGAGGCTGTCCCTTCCTCACCTATTTTTGCAATGCACAGCAGATCCCTTTGTCCTGGGAATAGCGAGGTGCACCCAGCCCTGCTTTCTCATCGCCCTGTTAACCTCTTCCCTCTCACAGCCTCCCTGGTTTCTGGATCACCACCTCCTCCCATTCCATCTCCGTCCTCATCCATTTCACCCAGCCCATCCAGTCGCTGTGATCTGTTGATCTCCCGTGCCCTGGTGTTATCACATCCCCGTTTTTTGCCGGGACCGGGCAACTCTGGGCCCTGGCATTTGCTCTGGTGGCCCAGACCTCGCTCGCTGCGGCCACATGGCAGCGTCCCAGCCCAGCCAGCCTCCTCCGGGACGCTGCCCCAGCGCCAATATCGGAGGAGAGGACGCAATTCCACCCTGCCTTCCCCGCCACTTCTCTCCAGCTGCAATCCCAGCGCTGCTGCAGGCACAGGCTGGATCCGCTGCCGTGCCCGCTGCCAGCGCTCCAGCCCCAGCCACCAGCAGCCGAGCCCCAAAAAGGCAAAACACCGGCTCTGTTTGCATCTCTCAGCTCATTCACAAGCTGTAAACGCAGACTGCCGATCCCCTTTCCATGGCTCCGACTCCCGGAAAGCCCTCCAGGATGGCATTAACCCGTTCTGCACTGGAGCAGAATAAATGAATCCCCGCAGGGCACTCGCCAAAGTGGGTCACTCGCCCGCTTCCCAGCGCTGTGCTGAGCCCGGGGCAAGTCCTAGCCCAGGGAAGGGACACACGGACTGCTCTGCCACCGCCCGGGTGGCTCCAGCCAGCTCGGGAGCAGTCGAACGCGCATCTTTGCCCATCTCCTCCGTTCCAGAGATGGATCAGAACCCAAGCGATGGATCGGAACCAAAGCGATGAACGAGATGCCATCAGGCAGCCAAGCTCAAAGGCAGCGAAAGGAAGCGCTGGAAGCTGGGAGCGGTCCAGCCCCTCCGCAAAAGAGCCCGTGGGAAGTGCGTGCGGAGGGGAGCGAGGATTTTGGGGATGCTGGAGAGCCGAAACCCTCCATCCCTCCTCCCGAAACATCTGCGCTCCGTGCCCAGCCTCGTGGCTGCCTTTCCGGGGAAGCCTGGCTGCTGCGCCTCGCTAGACGCTGCTCGATCCAAAAAGCAAACAAACGGCCTCGGCTCGCAGGGCTCCGGAGCCCGCTGCCCGCAGCTGCTTCCAAAACAAACGAGCGTGTTGTTCCGAGCCGAGCCGGCGCTGAAACCGGCCCCGGCTCTCTCCCAGCCTCGCACAGATGCTCCCACACCTGCTCCAGACCCGGGCGCGCACCCCAAAACGCCGATCCCACCCTTCCCCGCCGCTCCGCAGCACTCCCCGCACCCCCTTTCCCCCGCGGGCACCCCGCAAAGCCCCGCCGGGGCTGCCGCCAGCCCCGCAGCGCCCCGGCGGAGCCCAGCGCCCTCCGGGGACCGGCTCACCTGGTAGGAGCGCGGCTGCCAGGATGCAAACTCCGATAGTCCACCACGATGCACGGCAACTTGTCTGCAGCCGTGAAGCCATGAGAGTTCCTTAAGAGCGATGGGCAGGGGTCGGTCTGGCAGCGCCGCGGGGCCCCCCCCCACCCTCCCAGCCCCCGGTGATGCTCAAGTCTGCTTGAAAAAAATATATATTCAAAAAAAATAAAAATAAAAATAAGATCGTGGCTGGGTGAGGACAAAGAGGCGGCGGGAGGGCGGGAGGGCTCCGGGGGGAGCTCCGCACATCCGCGGGGCCCCTCTGGGCGGGCGCGGGGCGCTCCGGCCGCGGGGCAGCGCGGGCGCTTCCTTCCGCAGAGCCCGGGCGAGTGACGAGGGAAAGGAGGGGTGGAAAAATGCGATAAAAAAAAAAAAAAAAAAAAAAAAAAAGAGAGTGTTAAAAAAAAAAATAAATAAATCACCCAAAAGAAACCCCAGACAAAAAAGAACGAGGGGAGGCAAAACAAATAAAGAGCAGCGAGGCAGAGCCCTCCGCGGGCTGCGGCCGTGCCGTGGCTCCGGCGGCGGGGCTCGGCAGCCCCCGCCCGCTGCCCGCCCTGCGCTGGGGCCCCGGCGGCGCTCAGGCGGTGCCGGTGCGGGGCCGGGCGCGGCGCTCCATGGCCGGGCGGGGGGCGCGGGGCCGGCCGCGGGGCGGGGGTGCCCGGGTGCGGTGCCCGGGTGCGGTGCCCGGTGCGGGGCTCGGCGGCCGCGCTCGCACTCACGCACACACTGGCGGGCGGGGCCTGCCCCGTGATGTCAGCGCTCGGCGGAGGGAGGGAGCAGCGTTAACCCTTCGCCCGGCGGCTCCCGGGGATGCGCGGCGAGGGCGGGACAGGTGGCCGGGCTCGCCGCCCGCCCCTCCGGATGTTGGCAGCTGGCGGCAGCTGGGCTTTGTTCCGCCGTGGCCGGCCGCGCCGCGCAGCCCGGGGCGCCTCGCCGTGGCTTGGCGGAGGTGCTCCTGCCTCGCCGCACGGCGCTCGTGGACTTGAGGCTGTCCCCGAATTCCCTTCGGACGCCGGAGCGCCCGGGCCGCGGTTCTGGCAGTGCCCGACACCCACCTCCCGGGCCGAGCGCATTTTTCACCCTGCACGATGCGAGGGAAATACGTGGAGGCTAAGCCGGCAATCCGAAACGCTTGGGATGCGGATACCACCGGGTTTTCCTGGGGGCTGCTGAAAGAAGGAGCTCGTTGTGGCCACCCTCTGCGCGCTGAGGGGATGCAGAACTGGCACAGGAGCTGATGCGCGGGAGGAGGGGGCAGCGGTTTCGCCGAGCTTTGTAGCAGCCTTTATTATGTGGACACAGACGCAGCCTTTGTGGATCTCTCGCTAAGGAGGTGTTTAGCCTGCTAATGCCGGCTCCTGAGCTGCCCCGGCCTCTGCGAGGATGCTGAACCCCAAACAAAGATGTGAACAACAATGACAACAACCAACAACAAAGTCATGTTGATTTCAAGCTCCATTAGAAGGACACAGGAACAAATCAATGCCTGGCAGGCAGAAAAGGATGGAATCAGTGGGGAAGGATACCACACATAGTGGGAAAGGGAAAGGCGGGGGGCAGCCAGCAGCTATAAAAAGATACCCCTAAGGACCCCTTCAGCAGTCTCCTCCTCCTTTTAATTCCTTTAGAAGTTAATTCCTGTTCGAGGCAAGGATGGGCAGCTCTGTAACAAAGCGGATTAGGCAGATACAAGGTTTGTTCCGAAATAACAAAAGTTATTACGTAGTAATGAGGTTTAGTTAATAGATTCACAGACTGTAAGGCCGCTGGGATTCCTTTGGACATCCTGCCTGGGAAGCTGAGGCTGCTGGATTGATGATTTCTGCCTCCTGCCTCTTCTCTAAAGCTGCAGCATAGGGGTGCAACCCCCCACCCTTGTGGACAGGCAGGCGATGGGGGGTTCCCAGCATCCTTGTTGTTGGTTGGTTTTCCTGCCCGTGGAGTGTTTATCTGTCTAATTTCAGTTTTAATCCATAAAATCTCATTATTTCCTTTCCCAACTCCATTAAAGAGATACCTCCTATGAGACATTGTTCCCCTGGGCAGCTCTCTCTGAGTTACCATGGAGTTCCCCACATTAACAATGTTCCAGCTTACATTATTCCCAGTGTTACATTCTCCTTTCTCTTTCCCTTTCTTATTCTGTTGTCACTGCACCTGAACTGACATCCCTGAGATCTGTGGGGCAGCCACACCTCAACGCTCCTCCTTTAAACTTCCCACATTTCACGTAGGGTTTCAACCCAGGGGAAAATTCACATTTCCCTTCAAGAATCTGGGGAGATTTGATAGAGCCTTGGTGCCTTGGCCTCCCAAATCACAGACCTCAACCATGTGAGACAAAAATGTAAATCCATTTAGCAGCAGCAGCAGCAGCAGCAGCAGCAGTGGACCATTAGACCTGGTGCATGAGGCCTGACTTACTGAGCCAGAATGTATTATTTTCATGATCCTGCACAAAGCAAAACCCATCACATTTGGCACAGTTCTGGCTGTTAACTTCTAAGATTTATTACACAGTGCCATGGGGGCCCCTGTTCCGCAGCATTTTGTGAGTCCAAAATTTCCGTGAAGCCCGAGGGAACTTGTGCATGAGCAGGAGAGGCAGGAGCAGAATGCTTTGGTTTGACAATTTTTTGTTATTTCTAGGGGAGGAAGATCATAATATGTAACATATTTAATTGCATCATACTTTATATTGTTTTTATTTTGGGGACGTCTCTGTGTGCATGGCCTCTGAGGGGCTGGGGGAGTTGCCTCCTGCTTTGCTCGATCAGCTGGTTTAAGCCCATTTTTTACTTCCTTATTCTACCCCTCACAAAAGTGGGCTCCTAAAACTGATCCCAGCCAGAGATGTGGAAAAGGAGCCCTGGCTGTGGTGCCTGCAATAAGACAGGGAATTTCAAGGTTCCTACTGCAGGAACACAGGAACCATTGTGAGACTCAGAAATCCCTTCCAGAAATCTCTAAATGTGTTCCACTAGAAACAAAGAGAGAAAAAAACCAACCCACCTGGTGCCTCAGATAGAACTGGGCTGTGAGGAATCCCACCTTCTCCAAGGAAAATTATTTCTAAAACTGCAATATTTACCCTCTCTTGGGTTTTAGGGGTGGTAAAAGTCTCAGTTTAGGTGGCAAATAGCCACCAAAACAGGGATCCACAGCCTTTCCTGTGCACCCCTGTGAAATCTGGTTTAGGCACAGACCCTGGATGTGGTGTAGGAGCTTGGCCCACACTTAGAGAAGTTGTCACGCCAATATTGCTCTTGAAAATCGCCATTAGAGCATGAAACAACATTTGGCCCGGGGGGAAAAAAAAAAAAAAAAGAAAAAATTAAAAAAAAAAAACAACAGGCTTGCAGTGTTTTGTCCTCCCAGCACTTTGGCTGTTCCACCGGCACCGGGGTTTTCTGCTGATGCTGCCGTGTGAGGTAACGTCTCCTCAGCAACCTCCTGGAATGAGACCTCCCCAAACCCTTCCCACTGGAAAACGTGGCCTGTGGGCCGCAGGCAGGGGTTGGGGTGGGGTTGGATGGGGTTCGGATGGGGTTGGATGGGGTTAGGATGGGGCTGGCACTGGCACGACTCCTTTGGATGAGGGGTTGGTGAGAGTTCTGCACTGGCACAGCTCCTCTGGATGGGATCTTCCCTGGCGAGCTGATGCACATCCTTCCCCAGGGTGGAACGGTTCCTGGAGTCAGACTTGTCCAAATCTTTCTGAAGCAGCTCCTGGCTGCTGTGGAACGAGCACAGACCCAGGGCTGGGCTGATGGATGGCCCTCAGGGGAGCCAGGAATTCCCCCAGTGCCTTCCCAAGCAGTGGCCTCTTCCCTGCCACTTGAAAGGCTCGGTGGGAACGGACACCTTCTCCGAGATTTTTACAGTTCTGACTACCAGAAAGTCTTGGAAGGAGGGGAGGAGGAGGGGGGAAGGGGTTGCTCTTGAAAGCATTCCTCGGTGGGGTTTTTCAGCTGCTTTTGTTTGCTGCAGAGCCCACAGCAGAGAGCTGTCACTCCGGGCTGGGAGCGCGTTTGACACTCCTGTCTCCGCCTCGTACCTGGTGTGTATTTGCTGCAGTGCTGATTACATTAACTCCCGTGTTTATAAACATTTGGAATCAGTGCAGAAGGCTGCGCTCGGTGGAATTTTAAAGCCGGCATCAGTTTTATTTTTGCTTTTTCATCTGTAAACACACATAATGCGTCTGTGGCACAGCCAGCAATGGGAGACCAGAGGTGCAGAGGGCTTCCCGAGCTGATTCCGTGCTTGGCTTCGCTTCTGAGCTCTCCTGATGCAGCCTCCTGCATGAACCCACATCTATACACCACACATGCCCTGCACAGGCAGCTCACACTCCCTCAGACCTCCGCGCACCATCCTATTTTAAAAGGCAATTCAGCACTGATAGTCCTTGCTGCCCTGCTGTTCTCTGGATAGGGCCAGCGGTTAGAGGAGGAATTAAGTCTGAACTGGGGAGAAAATTGCCTCCCAGTTAATAGGAGCTGATGCGTGCTTCGAGCAGGCTGCAAACAGCAATGGGTTTTTTTTTCCTGAGCCCCTCTGCTGAAGGGTTTGTAAGAGCCTTTCGGTGCTGTCTCAGTGCCTTAACCGTGGCAATCCCCACAGCACCCCCTTGTGAGGCAGGAATTAAACCGTAATCCTCATTATACACGGAGAAAACAAACCCGGGGAGATTAGCAATCCCAGCCTTGCAGGAAGCAGGATGAGTTCTGCTACGGATTTCCACTGGAAAGCAGCTGGAATTGCAAGGCTGGTGGGCTTGGAGGATGACCCACAGGCTGGAAATCCCTACAAGGGCTGGAGCGAGTGGCTTTCAATGCAGGGGAGCAATTTGGGCTGGAATTTGGGGTGTTGCACGGGTAAGAGTGATGCATGGTAAGAGCGATGCCTGCTCAGAGCACCGGCCCGAGGTTTGGCCAGCGGTGCCTTGTGTGGGCTCTGTGTCAGCCTGTTCCCATCAGCAGAGAATAATTCCTTCATCAAAGCCATGGAATGCCTCCGAGAAGGAGCTGCTGAGTTCCCAGAAGGAGCTGATGTGGAAGAAGGGATTGAAAGGTGCCTCTTACATGCACACAAAGCTCTGGGGAGGGTGTGTGCGTG